GCGCCAAACTCAGGGAATCTTTTCTCTCCAGTGAATTTTGGAAGTAAAAGTCCATCAGGTTAAGTAACCTGTTTTTTTTTTTTTCTAAACAAATATTTAATCTGTTGAATAATGAGACTGTTAAACTATATCACCTCTTAGCTTTTTCCATTTGAGGGATCAATGTATTTATTCACATTTCACTAATATTCATAATATGCCTAGAAGTGGTATAATACCATTCTTATACTTGACTGAAGTGACAGAGCTTGAAGGACTTGCACCCTGACTCCTTGGATTAAAGTGTAATGTGATGCTGTATTTCTTTAGTGTCAGGACCATTGCCCCTGAAACCCTAAGTGGCATTCTGAGATGAGCAATTTCATCTTCTAAACCATCTCTGCCAGTTTACAGTGACTTATTCTATTTATTTATTAAAAGGACGAAAGTATAGGGCACAAAAGGGCTGAAGATGTATCTAACCAGGAAACCCACTCAAATACATACTCTGTTTCCATACTGCATCACGTGGCTGGTGTTGGTGCGTTTCTTCACCAGCTGAAACTGCTTGTGAAGTGTTTCTTTTCTTAGATCCTCCTGCATGAAGAAACTTTCATGTAGTCACAGATACTTAAATTCAGCTATTCTAAAAATGCAAGGAAATCTGGAAAGGGTCTTAGCTGCCAGTATGTAGAAGTAAGTATAGGGGAAGAGCTATACAACCTTTGAAAGACATAAAAGTAAAAATTGAAAAGGAGATTTGACAGCATATTCTCAAATTGTTGTTCATGATCTCCTGATCTCCTAGCAAATGGGCAAGAATGAAGCAGACTAGCATACAAATCCCAGATTTATTCCACTAATATTGTTTTCCATTATGCTAACAAACGGGTTAGCCACAGTTCAGTATTTAGGGAATGTGAAAGTAGAAATGAGACAGCTTCTAGTCTTTTTAATAACAAAAGACAATGTTTCTGAATGAATGTTACTTTCAAAAATAACTTTAGTGGCCCAAACAAAGATTATACATGGTTCTCAGTAGTAGATACATACTTTTAACAACTCAATTTGTTGATTTCAGTCTCACATAAAAACATATTTTCACAGATCTTGAGCTATTTTTAAATAGCCTAGTGATTTTTTTCATGTATAGAAACGCAGAAACCTCAAATAACCTACCATATCTGAATCTTCCATCCAGTTCACACTATACCAATCCCCAAGATAAGTCTGCCTTTCATCATCATAGTAACATGCGTAAGATGACTCTCTGGGATTGGCAGCTGTTGTTGCATAAACTGTAAGACAAATAGAAAGTATTTTTAAATTTTATTTATTTTAACCCTCCCTCATGACTTAGTACTTAGTTGCACCTGATATATTTGTCTAAGTATTTTGGCTTTCAGTCCTTTACTCCTCAAGGAAGGAAAGAAGTTTGTTAATCATTCTGCTCAGCCAGCCTCAGTGCTCTTCTGAGAGATCCTTCCTTGCTGCCAAATGTGTGGTCTGTGGTCTTTAAAGAAGAATATGCATTTCTGAGGGAAAAATCTACTATTGTAAGAACTGCCTGAGAACACTATGCACTGACAACTAGCTATACGTTCACTTTCATTATGATGATAATGAAGACTGTTTCCCTAACTTTGAGTAAATTCTCTAATTCACCTATTCTTCCAGAAAATGCCACCTTCTAAGTAGTATCTTTTCTTGGATAACACTCTACAATGACAGAAAAGCAAAACAAACATCTGCAACATCTACCGTAAGCACAATGTTCCCAGTAAGTCACTTCTAACACAACAGAAATACTGTAAATGTGTCTTTACAGGTATTATTAAGGCAAAAGCTATTTTGGCTTTTTGCCAAAGTCAACTCATATCATACTTATGTAACTGAAGTCCAAGTTTCAAAATGAAAAAGTGTTAGGCGTGCTTTTATATAGCTATAGTGTTGTTTCTACTGAGTGTACCTGAAGTTCAAAAGCCAAAAAAGGTCTTAAAACTTTTCTTTGTAGCAAAGTGCTGCTCTTAGCATTCTTTAAAATTAAATGCTTACTAAATAACCAGCTAAGCTTTGTAGGCTGTCAAAGACAGCTTCACAGTGTAATACATAAATTGTCTATTTTCTTCCTTTAAGTCTGTGGCAGAGCTGGTGGTAAAACCAGAGTTCCCAAACTTGAAATTTCTAATAGAACAACCTTTGAAACAAATGCTGATTCACTAGGCATTTATTTTGAACATCTGTCAATATGAAGTACTCTGTGTGAGCTTTCTGTGTATCCTTGATAGGGCTGTATGAAGTCTAGGTGGGTTCCAGGCACAATCCAGGGCCAAGGACCTAAGAAGCCATGGACAGGCATGTGGTCGGTCTTCCCACAGCTTCAAAATTACAACAAAGCCAGAGCACCCAGTCTCCTTGCCATGGAGCAGAAGTTTGAAAAGGCTGTGAGTCCTTGTCCTAATCAAGGCTGAGCTCACAGCTCTGCAGCAGAGTGTTTAGAAACCGTGAAAAATCTGAGTTCCACTTCGTGGGTTATTGTGCAAGTGAGTGTAGCAAAATTGCCTGGCAGCGGTTGCCTTTGTTACTCAGTGAAATCCCTACCAGTTAAGGGCAACCACATAGTTCCTGAAAAAAAGTATATTTTCATCTTTTCCCTATCAAGAAACTGAAAGGTCTGTTAATACAGTTGAACTTGATGATCTTAGAGGTCTTTTTCAACCTTAATGATTCTACAATGCTTTATAAGACTCAATTAATTCTTTAAAAGGAACTTCCCATATATGGAAAAGGTTACTTTCTCTAATTCTTGTGCTCCCCTGTTAATACTCTACATAGAAGGGTCTTGAATCCATCCTTGACACAATAGCTGTTTAAGTCTGTGACAAGTTGTGACATTTAAGTCCAGTAAGTTAACTGATTGCTCACCATTGATATTATCAGCCAAATGATTCATCATAGATCCAGACTCACATGCTTCAATGTAAAACACCATCTATAAAATAAATAGGAGACCTTAAGTAATTCCATGAGGAAATGGAGAAAAGTCCTTCAGTGCTTTTCAGCTTGGCCTGTACTGCTATCCCTGAAACAAAAGCTATCCATAATGCTATAAAATAAAACGCAAAAGCAAAATAGATCACTTTTTCATTTTGGGGAACAAAATGATGTTGAAAAAGGAAATATAATCACAACCAAAAGATGCTATTAATCTCTGTAGGATCCACAGAGGTCTACTGACAAATGTACAAAGCACAAATCAAATATCCTGTCACTCCTTTAGCAGAGCCATGTATGACTACTGAATGTAGTATTTCTGGAAACAATGGCTATTTCTGTGCTCCTAAATACAGCCAGCCACAGCAGACAGATTGCCACAGAAAGTTGCTAAAAAGACAAGCTACTAAAATGCTCAAAATATTAGATTTTCAGCTTAAAACTACTTAGTTTTGCACAGAATTTACTGACAAGGTCTGTTAAACAATATTAGTAACTGTAAGAGAAACATGAGGTATATACAAACTTCCTGTAGTAACACTACAGTCTGAAGTGCACAAAGCACAGGAAGAACAAGTCGGGTACGTATTAGGAGGGTGTGGTAGTTACACTGTCAGTCAGAATATATGCCATTACCAAAAGGCAGTACACTGCATTTCAACACTGACTGCAAATACACAGTAAACTAAAAATGGAATGAGAAAATTTGGAGATCAATCCTTGTAAGTGCAAAATCCTAATCTAAATTTCATTGCATAGCAACAGCTTTCTCAGGCTACAATTACTCCACAAATTAAGACAAATCTCTCTCTTCCATGCCAGGTGCTCTTTTAACCTCATAACTTCCAATATGCTTGTTTACCTTCTGGTATTTTTTGTGATGATACATGTACCAAATAGTCTTATTCAAGTCCTTCACATGAAGCTGTAAAATAAGAAGGTTTGTATTAAAAACACTTATGTTTAATAGGCATACAATTAATTTAGTATTTATTCCTATTATTATGTTTACTATTTCCCTTTAAACATATCCAGTGGTTTGCCTGTCTGAAATACAACATTTCAGTATTTACCACTCCAGAAAAGATGAGCAATGGGCCCATATGAAACGTATAGTGCACCAGAAAGCCAAGTCATACTTGTGTGAAACAGTCTGCTTGGACCACCAAAATCCAATGAAGTATTATGTGACATAATTTAATTTTAACTTGAATGCTTCAGATTCAAACTGGAAAAAATGCAAACTTGGGGTGATCAGGGGAATATTGCTTCTTTTCTGCCTCCCTCTCAATATGGTCATGTATCCAATAATTTTGTGGTTTACATTTGTTACTTATTATTTTAGTATGTCACTAAAAGGATGCTTTTTTATGGCAAAGTAATCCCCCAAAATGCTTACGTCATCATCAGGAAAAGCCAGAAGTCCTGGAGCTCCGTGGTCAGTGAAATAAACAAACACATGATCCTTGGGACCACTGTAATGAAAATTTTGCAAAAAAATTCTTTATAGCAACTCCAACCTAATCTTGACTACAACAAACATCATCTGCTTCTCAATGCCAAGACATGTCAATATTTGAAAATATTACAGCTGAAGCACCTCCTCTCCTCTTGTTAATATTTTTTTTCCTCCCAAAGCATACTACTCTGGGTGCTTATGAGAGGAGATGAGTGACTGCAAAAGGAACAAAAATGGGAATACAGTCTCTCAAGCACAGAGAATTCACCTTTCAATGTGTAAACTGATTGCTAGTGAGGCAGGGGCACAATAGGCTTTTAATGCCTGCCTGAAGGATCTGTTATACTGTGGGCATTTGTAGCAGCGTGGTAAAAAAGGAATGTTTTTATATTTAAGTTATACTGAGGCACCAGTGACATAGGGATAAACTACAAAATCTTGTTAGATAAGATCCTTAGGCATGTTTACATACTTATATGTCCATACTCAGCCAAATCAGCAGCAGCCTACATCTCCCCGAAGAACTGATCCATACACAAACTCACTGGTTAGGCCAGACTGGCATTTGCACAAAGTGGCTCTGAGCACTGCGCCCTCACAGGCTTTTATTTCCTGAAGTCTGTGTAGCACACTGTTTGCCTGAGATTTTTATTGTACTCTATAAACTCTAGTGGTCCCTTCCAACCCCTAACATTCTATGATTCTAAACCAAACAGATCATATTTGGGTGATATTAAGGTCTTGCTGTAACAGTTGCAAGGGGATTTTGCTTTTGAACTGTATTCTGAGGCAATGATATACAACGTGCACAGATCGCAAGGAGCTCCCAAGCTCTCCTCTTTTCCTCTGTATCTGGTGTCTAGAAATCCCTGTTTGCTCTTGCTCTTTCCTGACTGCGAAGAGGTACAACTGCAGCAGCGCAGGTGGACTTTGTCCAGCCTTCTGCTTGCTGGTTAGGGAACAACTTGGAAGACAATCTAGAAGTCTCTTGAGCATGGCGTAACAGTTCTGTCCCATCCAATAGCAGAAGTCAGGCTACTGGGAAATTCACACAACGGAGCCTAACACAGAAGGGCTGGGTGTTATTTTTCTGGCTCCCACTCTTGACCCTAAGTGCAAAAAATTCAACCAAAGTGAAATGTAAATAGCTAAAACTTTTGTATGTGGGTTCAAGTTGTCTTCCTGAGCAGTTAAGAGTCTTTGGCCCTGTGCATAGCCATTCCCTTATGTAACTTCCATCATCAACTTTTCACAGATGAGGTGTGCCCTGAAGTATTTTTTTTTCAATGAAAAACACTTTGTAGTCACCTCTTGACTCATTTCAACTACTTCAAGAGAACAATTGAGTAACTGTGCAGCAATTTATTAAGTTTCAGCCTATATGCCCTGCATATACTATTTTCTATCTCAGCTTTTGAGAATGAAGCTTAAACAATTGAGAGCAATAGCTTATTTGACCACTGTCCTGCTCCTTGATTTTTTTTTTATTCTCCCCAGTGCCATGGCAGGATTCTTCTTGTTTTCTTTGCTTTGTCTCTAAAATTAAACTGTCAAATGAAGACAGGCAGTTACACAAATTTTCTTTAACTACGTTAATGGTCAAATTTAAATTATTAAAGGTTTTACAGGAAATACTGTACATAGAAAATATAACTCTTCAGCAGCAGTACTGTGTTAGAAATACAACACACCTTAGTAAATAGGCATCATACATTCATAGCTCAAACTCTGTAGAAGCAAGATGAACTGACACCAGGTATCTTTCTAGAGGTCTTCTAATTAGGCCCTCAACTATATTGCTTTTATTCTTGACTCATCTAAATTACAGAACTGTTTATAAAATACACTGATTAATTATAGATCTTATGTTCTACTTAGCTAGTCTGCAATTTATAATTGTTCATATATAAATCACAAGGTCAATTGCTTATGCTACCTTTTCAGTCACAAAGGTTGTTTTGCATTAAATATAAAACATAATTTCATTTCATTACATTCAAAGCCTCAATAACCTTACATCTGCCACAAAGACCAAGGCTGGGATTCGACACGCAATTCTTTCACCTAATGAGCTGTTTAAGCTATCTCTGCCACTGACTGCTGAGATTCACCACTTCAGGTGACTAACACAGCTGTTCATGTACATTAAGACAAGCCTTAGCAAACCCTTTTTTAGAGGTCTCCAAACCTTAATAAAACTCTCTTTAAATAGCCATTCTTGCATAAGGTAATAGCCCAAATCACAAATACCTTAATACAGTTGACACTATCCTGTAGAGTTTTTATATGTTGATCTACACTGGATTCCGTATGAGTAAAATATCAGCAGTTGCTTCTTGGTGCTGGGTAGTTTAAGAAACCAGAACCATTGTATTTCTAATGTGAATGATCTGGAACTGCCATCAATAGTCTTGCTGGATTCTCAGGCTGCTCTATCTACCCCCTTCTTTAGTTGAAATCGGTGTCAATGTACAACTATACACACAATTATTTTCTAAATTAAACTTCTCTTACCTTTTCAATACTTTTCCCGATCCCACCCCCTTCATTGCTTCCGCATCTCCTCTAAGAACAGCAAGGAAATTCTTTGGAGTAACATCCTAAAGATGTGAGAGGATTAAAGATAAATCTGATCATAAAAACAACAACAAAATCTTCATTTAGAAAGATGGCTTCCGAAAGTCAGAATCCACGCATGGATGGCAAGTTTAGCCAGCCTTTTCAACCTATCATTGAATAATGTATTAGCCACTGATGACTCCCTGAGAAATTGAATCATATCACCAAAGTACTGGATTAGTGTTCTGATTTAATGAAACAATGAGTCTTATACAACTGTTTTTCAGATTGAGTTACAACATTGAAGAATTCAAGACTTTACCTTCTTTTATTTCGTGTGCCAGTACACAAACAGAGGAAAGGTTTATTTTTGTCACCAACTGCTTCACTTCAAAGCACCTCTTGTCTACATTTATCTTACGAACACCAAACTTCATGCTGCACCATGCAGGTGCACAAGCTGGAGGCTTTATGCTATGTGCATTTTGGAATGTAAGCTATAGGCTGAAAGGATTTATTCAGGACATTGGCTAACACCCTGGGGAATGGTGTGTCATTCCTACCTCCTTTGTATAGTCCTTGGGCACTCCAGCATACACATCTGTGCCATTAGGTCTATTGATGACAATGCCTTTTGTTGGATTTCTGAAAGTTAAGCAGAACATAAAACCAAAGAATTAGCTATGCGCCACACAATGACCACAGAAAAACTAGGAAACCAGCTTGCCTGAGAGAGTGAGTGTGGGTACTTTCACCATGTGTCATTAAGTGATCTTAGAATACAAAGGCCTTTTGACTTCAGTCAGTTATGTACACTCACCTCAGGTGTCCTTACCCTCAGAGTACCTTCAAGTATCCCGCCTTAGATCATGTCACTTAATCTGAAGATGTAGGCAGGCAGTCTCTTATACTATCATCTCTCTACTTACAGTCTTGCCTTCAGTCCCCTCCTCTTTGCTCCCAGTGCTGCTGTGCATGTGAAGACTGCTGATTTCTGCTGAAGCTCTCTCAGAATTAGAGATTGTGTAACTCAACTGCTTCATACAGAAAGTAATGGTAGCTCTAGACAGTCACCAAGAATGAGACATGTACACTTCTTTGTTGAATGTACATTCTGGAAATTAATCTGATAATGTCCCTTCAAAAAAAAAGGCCTGCAAGTCATACACAGAGCTTACCTATTAGGCTATTTATCTGCTGTAAACTGCTACACCCTACTCTCGTAACAATGACGCTCTGCAGTTCTCAGTGACACATCCGATGCCGAGTTGAGGAGTAAGGCTCAGAAAGCTCATGAGCACATTTCAAAGGAAAAATATTGTGCTGATGGATAAAATATCTCTATGCACATCACAGCTGGGTTTATAGGCTTTTCTTACAAAACTACTACAAATACAACGGCATGTTTATAGTACCATATAGTTTGTCACTAGTGCATGTTCATCACTTACTCGTCATTATCAGCAATGTCATCATACATCATGACAATGATCTGTTCATCTGGAATTCCATTTCGGTGAACAATCTGGTAAGCATGGCACACGTCTGCCTGAAATTAAGCAGATTTTCATCACTAGACTTAATAGAGATTTTACCTTTGAGACCAGAAGAAAAATAGCTTTGCAGGCCTAACAGCAGGCTATTGTCCAAAAGAATGAGAATGAGGGTTGCTTGAGGGCCAAAATGCACAGGTTAACCCAAAGCTCAATGTCTTTCTCTAAGAGTAGTTGCATTAGTAACAGAGACTGTGATTAAAATCTCTCATTTACCTATTTTGATTTCTTACTGAAACAGAAATCGGAAGTTACTTCAGACCTGGTACAGATAAAATCTAACAAAAAGTTCTCAGTAATATTCTGCACTTTGTGAGAAAATCTAAATTAAAACATTGTGCACTGACAGACAAATCCAAAGCATGCCAAGTAGGTGAAGAAGAGAATCGGATTTCCACAAATTTCAATTAGTTCTGCACCAAGCCTGCATGACTAAGCAAAGACTGTCCTTGGCCTAAACAAGCATGGTTTATCAGTCTCATCTCTCCAAAGATTTTACTACAATTTGTTTTACTAGACGATAATTTTGGTTAAGGACAATTTTCCTTTTAAATACATATTTCTTGTAGAATAACACTGAAGCAACTTCAGGGCAAGAAAACAGATTTCCGTAGAAAACCGAATGGCAGAGTTGCTATTTGGGCTCTTTTTCCAACTTTTACAGGATACAAATAAGCACATTTTCTTTAGAGAGCCATCTTCTCATGATGCAGAAATAATACTACTCATCAAATTGGTATTACGGTAAATGCAAACCTCTATTGGAATGCTAAATTCTTAGTAACACCAGGCCAAATAATCCTCTTCTTTTAGACTTGGAGTCTGTGAATGACCTAATGGGATGTTAACAATCACTCCTAAACTCTAGAACTACAACCTACCACATACTTTCTATGCAGATTTAATGGAAGAAATCTCATCTAGCCAATGCACACTATATGCAGGCAAGAAGCAAGCTTTAAAGCTTATTGCTGTTGAACTAATCTAATTTTCTAGTTTGTAAACCAAATTGAAGTGGTTTAAGTGAACTCATATAAGTTCAGATGACTTAGGAATAATAATTTTAACTAGTTTAACTGAAAGGACACTGTAAAATCCTGTCACCTTATAATCTTTGGTTTTCTAAGTAGAGCTGAAGCTGAAAAGAGAGAGTAGTTGTGCAAGGTTCTGGGAAGGGTGAGGCACATCCAATGCTAATGAACCCTCCCACAGCAAAATCTCCAGGTGACTAACCCTGCCCTTCCTCGAGCAGTTCTATTTCCTACTATGCAGGTCAGCCTACGTTCTCTTCCACCTACCCCAGACAATCTCCACTGTTTACAGTTCTTTATTTCCTTGCACATAATTATACCAGCTGCTGCCTCAACAACTCAAAATGCAGAGGCTGAACAGTTATAAAGGCATCATATATAATATGAAACAGCAGAGTTCAGGTTTAACTAAACATGAATTTGATTTTCAGAAGCAACCCAAGCAGAAGAAAACACTCCTACACTGATTGATGAGTAGATTATAGATCCTTGCTCACTCTCAAGACATAATACACTTACGTTATGCTGACAGAAATAGTTATGGGCTGGCAACACATGGAAATGCTTAGGCATACTCTACTGATATGGTATCAACATATTCAAATGGCAGGTGTCTGTGCTTCTACTGACATGTCCTGGCCAGCAGAGACTTCAGAGGTGTTTTTAATTAATACCAAAACACTCAAAATTAGTTAAGCTTTGCAAATGCATATTAACAGCTTTTTATGTCTCCTCTCTCCTTCATTAACTGTTTGCTCATTATGTCCTGTCTTAGTAAACATTGGTGGTAAATTTAAATAGGTTAAATACTCTAGACTAACCAATTCCCCTCAACCTTAAATCATGGCTGTTTGGGGACCATTCCAGCCTTTTAAGGCTTTTGCTAAAGGAACTGTACCTGCTGGCAGCATAATGATATCACCAACATAGGCTAGAGCAGTAAAAACATGTTTTGCTGCTAAAACTCCATTGGCTAAAGTAGAATAGTTCTCAGTAAACGCTTGGGAGTTTTTTGTATAGAAATAGCTGACCTGACCAGCCAGCTTTGATGTTGGTCACGTGTTCCTCCTGTTCCCTTTGTATACATAAAAAAAAGCCAAACAACCAGAATCGAAACAGTCTGCTGCTAGAGCAGGGAGGTGTATGTGAATGTAGAGTATTTCCTGTTGACATGTAACTGCCTCTCAAATACTGCTATTTGAGCCTTGCTTCTTCCAGAAATACTTCTGGCATATCTGTACATGTAAACCACCCTAAAAAGAGAGAGTTAATATTGTTCCAGATCTCTTTCTTGCTGGTATTATTCTTGTTGGTTTAGTATGTGAAGAGAATGCTATAAACATTTGCTAGATAGTCACTAAATCCAAATCATACTTTTGTGGCCATGACTTGTGTTGGGTAGCAGCTGCCTTGCAGAGAACAAAAGAGGAGAAGGTGTAGCTGTACGGCTGCTGCTGCACAATTGACCTCACACACCACCTCTGAAATTGAGCCTGTTAATGGCACGGTTCAGACCTTTCATCCCTGCGTTAATCTAAACCCGTTGCTACATCAGCAAATTTCTATGGTAGATCTTTGCTTAAATCTGCTGAAATAATTAACTCCTAGATTTTGAGAGCTCTGATCTGAGGATCAGAGGTAGAATTCCCATGTTTTCCTGGGATGGGCATTTTGTTCCCCAAAACGTTACATCTGGGGGAAATTCTAAAAGGAGGGAAAAAGAAAACCACAACACCCCAACTTTCCTCTGCTATACAGCTGTTTATGCATTTGAATGACACAGCTTTCAAGCAGACTGCTGGGAAAGGGGGTCATGTTTGGAAAACTCAAGTTATTCAATGACACATGCATATATAAATAGTTCCTAAAGGGAAGAGCTCGGATTTCTGTGAAACTGGTTACTTCTGGTCTTATGACTGCTAGGTTCATGGCTAAAAAGCATGTGTAATGAACCATCAGCTTCTTTGTAAACTGGTGCTGCTCCCATTACAGGTACACTGAAATGCCATAGCCTAAAAAACAACAAATCCTTAATATATAAGCATGGTAGAACAATACGTCTGAAATGCCACATTTCATTCCCTTGCTTAAACATACATCAGTGAATCAGCCAAAAACTGTAACTATATTAAGAACTTAGGAAAGGTTTTCACATAGCTTCAGTTACAATTCTGTAAGCACGGTGAGGAAGCGTCAACCAAAACCAAATAGCCAAGGCACCTTAATGTCTGTTACCTGCAAGACTGGAGAATTTAGGACCGTCCTGGAGTAAGATACTCCTCTGATTGGTAGTGTCCAAAACACTGAATAAATACAATCCCTGGCCCATAGAACTCAGTAAGTATAGTGGTAAAAAACAACAACTGAAAATAAACCCATGTATGCAAATTCAAATGGTTTTATTTTCAGCATTTTAATTTTGCCAGGCTTTTCCAGCTATTTTTCTCCTCGAGTACGTACTTCATCTTTAGTAGGCTTTTCCATCGACTACGTCTTTTGGAGTATCCAGAAAGTATTGGTCTCCCTTTATGAGCTGTTTGTGAAGCCAGCTTTAGGCTTGAGTTAGCTGATACAATCATCTCCCAGGACAGGCAGAAGCATATACAAAATTCTATTTCTGCTAAGAACTAGTTTGTTGATTCATTCTCTAAATCTACCAGCAGCATTTAGTGCTGTATTTGCTCATGTACAACACTAAACTTTCCAGAGATATATCATCTAGCTCTTTGCATAGCAGAAAGTTGAGCCACTTTCCCAGTGAATGGGGGGAAGTACTCTTTTATTTATTTATATATTTATACATACATATACGCACACACATATACATGCTTAATTGCATTTAGGGAATAGCAGCCAGCCTGTAATAAAAATGCTGCTATACAGAAGTCAGATTAACTGCTGAGGAGCAGAGAGGAGCATGTCAATAGTCCTTCCACAGCCATATCAACTCTAATCAAAACCACTAGATATGGATAAAACCACCAAAGAACTGAGAAGCCGCAGGCATGAGGCAATATACAAGCTAGCTTTGCAATGACAGTAAGTCTATCCCATTGAGCTGTATCCTGATCAAAACACCTAAAATTTACTTCAGGAACTTGATAAAATAAATGTGTAAGATGCATTTAGATAATCCTGATTGGGAAACAGTCCCAGTTCAGCCATCGGAGAGGAAACAAAGCCCTGCAAGCTGTGAATTTCCCTCACAGACAAGTGCAAACTGTGGGGTTTTTTCCTTATCTTGTCTACATTTGAGGTTTACACCACTGATAGTGTATCCTGACCACTGACAGCTGAATTATATGTTTTAGAAGGAGTTTCAGAATACTTGAGGTTACGGGTGCAAACTCAGTGTCTCCAGAATCTGCACAGACTTTACACACTTACTGTTCACATGGCCTGTACATCATAAAATGATGGACTTTTTCCCCACAACTTTCCCATGTATGAAGTTAAGAAACATTTTTGAAGGTGTAACCTTCTCCTTTTATGACTGTTTAGTCAGATGAACACATCCTGCAGTCAGGTAACTACTGCGGAAGTCAGAGTATATTCTGATTATGTTGTGTGCAGACAGTATGCAAAACAAGTGGAGTTCACAAGATATAAATGTAATATAAATATCATGTATTAACTGTACTCTGAACAGCTGAACTGAGGAACTGAAACCCAGAGATGTGTCTGCTGAGGTCTCAAATTACAAAGGGATATTAGGAGTGCTTAGTTGCACGTAGGGAATAGCAACCAGTCTGGTAATTAAAAAAAAAAAGTCACATTGAGTAACTGCTTACAGGAATGTTCACATTACAAATTCACCTGTACACAGGCTAGATCAGAGAAGTTCTGAGGAAGAAAGGTGACAGTAGGAGGAAAGCGAATTAAAGTATAACATATTTTCTTCTGCACTTTCTTCCTCAAAGCAACAAATTACACATATCTGGAGTGCTGCTTTGCTTTTTGACGGTACAGGTATTATTCTACTGAAAAATAATACGTGCTTCTGATGTGTTCACTATAAAATGACTTTTGCGGTGGATGAAGCACAGAACTGGAAGTCCAAGTCCTACTCCTGGTTCCATTGCAAGTGACTTGAGAAAATAATTTAAATACACATCAGTGATTTTGCTTCCAGGGCTGAAAGGTAGGGAGCACCAACACATACAAAGACATGGCAATCAGTCTGCGTAATGTTTCCAAAAATCTGTTATAAATCCTTAGATTTCTGTAGTATCTTTCCTCCTCTGTATAACTCTCCTAAAAATCTATGGTTCAGTCAGTTTTCACTGGGAAATCAGGGCACGCTTCTCTGGATTACACTTTGTGGCACACGCACACAGTGGGTTTTCCAGGACTACCTCCTGGGTGTCTCTCACAGTGCGCCCTCCTGGCACAGCTGCTCACTCCTGCCAGCACCTCCGGGCAGGGTACAGAACGCTGCCAGGCGAGACAGCACAGGCTGCTGATGTGCTGCAGCTTCTGGGAACCGATTCTTTTCATAACAAGTCAGAGGCACAGGATCTTGCCCAAGACAGCCAAGTAGGAGCTCAGCTCCAGTCTGAAGGATCCTTCACACAGACTCTTTTATTTTATGATGCCTGTTTCATGACTTTGACAGAGTTGTTAGTGGTCTTTTTTTTTCCCAGATGTTAGTACTGTAACTGAACCAAGCAGTATATGTTAAAATACAGAGATCTCTAGGATTCAAACTCGGAACAGTCTGACATTGCAAACAGGCAGACTGCACTGTTAGTTGACATTATCTTCAAAATCAAGGTGTTTAAAGAAACTATTTTCTCATTTTTCTAACCTTGAAAAGCAGTTACATAGTAACTGTCTGCAAAGCGTGACCACACTCAAAAGTTAATTTGTTTCTCTGAAACAGGAACGTTCAAAAAATTTACTGTTGGACACAAATATGTAAGTGTGCATCTTCTGTTCTTCATAATTCCATTACACCCAGCAGATACACTTGACATTGAAGGCTCACTGAAAGAAAGATTGAAAACTCTGTGCTAGGGAAACCATAGAAAAGAAATTCTCACAAGCCACAGCTTCAAAAATGGAGTTTTATTTAAAGAACAAATGTTGTGGCATTAACTCCTCCTGGAGTGGAAGACACCCGGTCAGAATGGTTATATGGCAATAGCAACAACCAGAGCATAACTCAACAATTGTATTTAGACACCCCGGGGCAGGTAGCGATCAAGTACAACACTAATTTTTATAATTGTTCTCTAATTTCAACTTTAAAAATATCTTTTTTAAGACTTAATTTGAAATAGGCATAGTTTATATTAAGGCTGTAATATTCCAACTATGGTTATCGGGTGATAGCTACAGTGCAAGGAGCTGGCAAAATCACCCAAACTAGTTTGTCAGTGTTTAGCTAGCATTTGCCAATAACAGGTTCTTCCTCAGACGCAACGACGTTGACAGTCTGCTTCATTTAGTTTTAAGCTCCTCACTGCCCCAAAGGTTACAAAATGATTCTGAGCTGAACGTGAGGAGAAACAAACAAAACCTGGAGTGTCCAGCACATGGAAAGCTCATTTCTTCTTCAAATAACACAAATAGAGAGGATGAAGCTTCTCTAGATTTTATAGGCAGTTACCTTAAAAATAATGAATACTTCAAAAGTTTCAGTGTTCAGCAAATCAGCTGTACCCAGTATATTTAATACAGTTTAACTTTTAAAATACTGGGTTTGTACACTATTGTTTTCACCCTCTTCAAGATCACCTTAGCCAACAATAGTCTAGTAAACTTTTTCTAATATTTATAAATATACAACTATATACATAAATCAGAATTAAATGGACCCTGTTCTCCAGGAAAGCAAGAGGTTGTTCCAAGTTTAGAGCAAAGACTATGTTTACGTGTAGATTAATCTGTTTAAGGGATCATCCAAGAACTCCCCAAAGGGAAAAACTGCCATAGTCTCCTGACTGCTGATTATAAGTCTTGAACTTAATCAGAGTTAAGTCACTTGGATTTAATCCTGCCTGTCCTCATGCTCACACTTAGACTGCAATTCCACAATACACTGGCTTTGACAGCAGTGTCAAACTCAGGAATTCCTGTTCTCTTTTCTCCTCTTTCTGCCTTTCACTCTGATCCCTCTACCTCAGTGCATCATATGCTCATTGTGCCAACAGAACTCTAAGGCCATGCGGTCAAACACAGTGAGCAAAGCAATTCAGGTTAGAAAAAAAGAACCTCCTTCTGCAAGTCCTCCACCCCACAAAACCATACTGTGCATTTGTAGCCTTTGCAGACTTTTTAACTAGAGAGAAGAAAGGGAGTTTTTTCATAACATAAAGAGAAGAGGGAATCAAATGGAAAGAAACATACATGTGTCTCAAAACAGCATTGAATTCTAGAAATCATTTGTTCACCTGCAAGTTGAGGTCAGATCCTCTAGCCTAGTAATGACATTTTAGTCTAAATGATACAGATCTCCCAGGATGCAGAAGCATGATTAGAGGAGGAATGCTGTTCTTCCTGCTAATGATAGCTTTTCAAAAGATGAAAGACTGGATAAAGTTGTAAGTAAAAAAAAATTCTAATAGTAAAAAGAGTAGTGGAGGGGAATTCTTGAGGTGCAAATAACAAATTAAGACCAAGCTCTGGATGAATCTTCCTGCTGCTAATTTTGAAAACTGAGCACACAGCTGGAAGTCTAGAAGTACTAGCACTTGTTCAAATGACAGAAGCGCAGCACTAGTCTAGGCAGCTATTATAGAATCATAGAACAGTTTCAGCTGGAAGAGACTTTCAAGATCATCAAGCCCAACCTTTATCATCTACCCACAAGTCCCAGAGCAGGCATTTTTTGGAGTGTGGCCAGCATCAGCATGTGGGATCAGTGGTCCTTACCTGGTGTCGATAGTTGTACCAGCCGTTTGAACCTGCGACGATCACCACCCAGTGCTTGCCTCCGTCTTCAGGTTCTTCCATGGGGAATGTGCTGATGCTCAGAACACAGCTGAGCAGCACAACTGCTTTCAGTATCATCTCTCTTCTTTATTTACTTCACAAATGGGAGAAGGAAAAAAAATCCCTAATGAAGAAGTTTGAGAGAAGTAGATCAGAGGACACTAGTCAAAAATAAAACAAATCCAAAACGAGTATCAGCAGTATCACAACTAGAAACTTTTCTTGCTTGTAAGGGTTTTGTGTGTTTTATGACCATTCAAGCCACGTGATTTCTGGTCATATCTTCCTTTAGCACCAAGCTGCTACTAGTTACAAGAGTTTTCTGTCAGCTTTCAAATCCAATTAAAGCAATTCTGAATAGGGTCTTTCAGCTCCCTTTGGTTGTTTTTTTCTATAATAGCTGGTAACGAATAAGCCTGAAATACAGTGCAAGCCTCATTTTCAAATATTTCACAGACAAAACTCTCTCAGATTAATACTACTCTCTTGGTGTCTGCTTACGTAGTACCCTGTTTTCCACTTGCTGGCAATCAGCCCATTATTACTGAGTTAAATCCCGGGTGATGTAGGCACAAGGACGCATGGACATGGAGAACTGCTTTGGGAGTTGGAAGGTCAGAGTGTCACAAAAAGCCCTCTGTGCCCACAAATCCAGAGAGGGTAGAGAAAGGCCACGCTGTTGCTCTGCACAAGATAGAGCCTGAACTGCTGGGGCTGGGGGAAGTGCAACCTGTAAGGCTAGTGGAGAGCACAGAGGAGCTGGTCCCACATGAAAGAGTCGCATTTTCAACTCTTTTGCACAATGGTTAAGTGTTTGCACAAGGCACACAGTGAGAAAGTCAGATCTGAACTTGTGGACGTCAAACAGAGAAAAGCAGAGCCAGAGAGGAGGTTTCAGCCCACGCAGAAGTGGCTCTTTCTTTCCTGAGAGGGCTAGAAGTAGTGTCCCCACTTGGGAATTTCCTGAGAACCCTGATTGTCTGATAGAGTGTTTGCTCTAAAAGCAAACATTCTGCCCATATATAATCAAGGCTTTGGTCTGGGGTGTTGGTTGGGTTTTTTTTTTGCTTTTGTGGCATTTTTTTGGAAGGGGGCAGGTTATGTACACTGGTCACAGTCTCAGGTGTGCTGCATCCAAAGTGTAACTCAGAGCAAACTCTCCTGAAGAATTTGCATGCTCTTCGCATACACACAAAGATTACACATTTCCTCCAAGCATTGAGAGATGGGATTTTACACTGGCCTGCTTGTAAAAAAAAAAATAAAAAAAAAAAAAAATTCTGAAGGTTGATCACTGCTGCTATATATGGAAGAGGTGCTGAAGAAACAGAGTAGTGTAGTTTATCATGGTTTTCTCTGAAATAAAAACCAGAAACTCCAAAGCCATACGACACAGTCACAAGGCACAACATCAAAGCTGCCACTAAACCAAGTAGCTCAACAGTATCTAAGTCAGCCTCAGCTCCCCACAGTCACCACCATCCATCTGTTGCTACTCAATGAGGCTGAAACAAAGCAGCCAGCTCACCTCCAAAGCAGCTGTGTACAGTGAAGACTGCTAACATAACATGTAGTATGTGTCTTTCAAAGGCTTGATCTACTGGTCGCTAGGTCTAAGTCTTGCAGACAGTAGTATGAAAAATAGATTTTATATATATGTACACACACACATTTAAAAGTGGTTTTCTTTTTAATGGAGCTATGAAAATAAAGCCTATCACTCCTACAGGAAGAGCTGCTAGCACACAGAAGAATTCTGGAACAGAACAGGCAGAATGAAACATGAAGTTCTGTGACACTGCTTCTTCCAGTAACTCGTTGGAGTCTAGGAAACTTATCATTCAGGAATCAGCCACTCCTGTCACTGCCTGCAAGCATGAAATTTGGGAGCAAGAAAAATGTATCATAGTTTAACAATTTAGGGCTTGTTGAATTATTAGCTACTTCAGTAGTTAAGCAGATATGAAGGAATAAGCAGAATTTTCCTGTGGTTTGATAGACATGATCTCTCCTTCTAAGCTGGAATTGTAAACTCTTTTCATTGTTACCAAACTGTGACAAATGGCTTTGTATGGCAACTGTCTTGTCTATCAGATGATTAAGACAAATAACATATTTATAACTATATCGAAGATATACTGTGTTTACAGCATTCACAAAAACCATCTATTCTGTTGCCTACAGCTCAACTAAGATTCAGACCTAGCTGCTCAAAACTTTTGTAAAATGCCACAATATGCCATAGGCCAACAAGCCTATTTATTCCCAGTACTCAGTTTCAGGTATATCTAACTCCTGAAATACTAGATACAAAAAGAAAATCAATATATTTTAGACAGTCTGCTTAGAAATCTTAACTGAGTTTGACTTACTGGAATATGGAGCCGAATTTCAACAGAACTCAGTATGTGTTTCATGAGAAAAAACTTTTCTCATATTCATTAAAACATGATTTTTCATTTCTCAACTAAAAAGATTACTTATATTTACACAAAAAATACAAAGAGAAAATAATTTTTGCCCATGATTGCTGAAGGGCTGGAGATCCTTTCACATGATGCTTAGCTCTTAGAGACGTAAAGCATTAATTCAAATCCAGGACGTATCAATAGAAGCTGTGTTGCTGCCAGCTGTTCACTAGGCTGTGCAACACGATGGCTCATCCCAGCAGAGGAGTGCCCATCACACGGAAACAGCCACTGCCACTGGCTGGCAGTGACCGATACACCACGCCACGGAGACTGAAGTTGCTTCAGAAAAAAATACACTATGGAGTGTGAAGTCCTGAACTGAAACAGCTTGATGGTCCTGTGTTTCCTGACGAGTTCACTCTCCAGACTATGCTACCACGGATCTGTATATCACAGGACCCCAGCCAGTACCTCAGCTGGGGTCTGGCAGGACGCCCGCGTGCCAGATACCAGTCCTGTGTTCTGCCTGCAAACTGGCCCACAACTGAAAAAAAGCAGGGCCAGATCAGGAATGAAGACGTGAGCTATCAAGGCCCTCAGGCAGTTCCTCCATGAAGAATTCAACAGTCTCTCATGTGGCACATGGATATCCAGATCCTTGGGTTTCACACCTCTGCTGAGACAAAGTTGTGAAGGATGCAGAAGGCCCAAGGGAAAAAAAAACCACAAAACAACAAAGCCAGCAAAAAAAAAAAATAAACACCAAGAAACATTTGCACTGTATTGGAAAACCACATATGTTTTGTCATAGGTTATTTAGAATTGAAAAAAATCCTCTTTTATACTAATTTAAGACACATAACATCACTAATGTCTTTTCCTATACCGTAATAAAATCATAGTAACACCAGAAAGGGGAAAAAAACTAGACATATCACAATGCACTAATAAACAGCAATTAATAAATGCTCAGGTCCCTGAGGCTCTCTGAACAGCATTTAAAATAGATTTAATCATTAAAAATGTGTGGTGGAAACAGGTCTTTCATGGCTTATTTCCAACTACTAAAAAACAAACAAATAAAAAAAACCCCACTCATATTTCTGCTTTTTCAAAGAAAGCCTTAGAGTGCTCAGGCAGGCAATTAATAAAATTGTGTTCCAGGTTTTGTTGAATGAATTCTTGACCCTACAGTTGAGAAGAAAAGGTTTCTGTCACATGCTACATCTCCAGGTCATATTAGAAGAGAAACAAGCTCAGCTGACCAGCTCACCCCCACAGGTACATAAAAAGTTTTTCCTGAAAGCAAGCAATCAGAGATGTCACGTCATCCTAAATGCATGCAGAGTGAGACTACATGGACAAAATGAAAATTCGCTACAACCCTCTTAGAGCTTTGGCTGATCCCCAAAATATGAGAAGATTGGATTAGATCTGCCTAGTTGTTCTGGTAGAAAAGTTAATTAACTTTGCTTTGGAGATCATGTCAGCAAAAAGGCACATCTCTCAGAGCTGGTGGGTTCAGCATCAGATCTACAGGTGCAGAACCACAGCATGTACACCCACAGGCAGGCTGCTGCGCAGTTTGCACAGTCCCTTGGAAGAAGCACAGCCAAAACTGGGTGGCTCTTGCCAGAACAATTCACTCAGCTCTTAAAACCTGTTTTTCCTGACAGAGGTAACTAAACCGCTTCCCATTACATAGCTGGCACACACCTCTGACTTGATAAAAGAGGGATGCTTAAGAAAGACCACATCTGGAAGTGGCCAGCTGCTGCTAGAACAATTCTTTTGGTCAGCAGCCTGTTCTGCGAGTTTCCAACTTTCCTTTGGGAAATCGGTCAACTAAGATCAAAAGTCTTCAAACAACAGGATACCACTCTGAAGAAAGGAGTCTGAGTTGATCAAAGTATTTTTCAGTAGTGTTTTGTGTCATTGATGCTTCAGTAGCTTAAACTCCAAATACCACAAGCACAGCTTTCAAGAGCTATATATACAGAAACCATACATTCATTTTCCCCTCCATGTGAAACAAATCAATTAACAGTAATCTTGAGAGAAAGTAACAGCCTTAAGCTAATTGGCTGATCATTCCAGTTTTTCTTGGAAATCTCTATTTCTTTTCAGCTGCTCTTCTAATGACCACTAGCCTCTTAGCTTTCAGAATCAAACCACAATTCCTTTTCCTACACCGTATTTGCATATTGCCTGTCACTGTAACATCTAGAAGCTGATTTCCACAAAATACGTGACTCATGATAGCCCTCCTCATGGGACACTAATGTCCCCAGTTTTCTGTCAGCAATGTGCTGCCTACATGTTGTGCTGGCTGCTGTGCAAACTGAGGCACCTAAACCCGTGATTAAGCCCCTTTGGAATTAGTCTGATTTTCTTCATGTACTTGTGTGGTAGAAAGAAAAAGTCTTTATCACTGTAAACTCCAGCAAGGTACTTTTTGAAGGAGATTATGGCCTCTGTTGCAAAACAGCTCTTTACAAAGTCTACTAGTAACCATTTCATTATTCAGTTTAATTTGATTAGAACTTGTAATAAAATAGTTTAGTACAGCTACTGAAGATGTACAAGTCACTTACTGTAAAAAGAAGAATTTCTAATTATGTTAACTCAGAATGGTGTTAAACATTTAGAAGTAATTTTTTAAAAAGTTCATTTTTTTAATTTGCAGATTTATCTTTCTCA